CAGAGGGCCCCGCGGGCCGGTCCCTTAGGGTCGCCCTGGCCCGGCGCGCGTCCTCGGCGTTCAGTGGGAGAGGAGCGGGGAACAGGCCGAGAGCGGCTATGGCACAAAGGAGACGCGGGCGTCCTGAAGCCTGCGCCCGCCTCCCTCTCATCCCGCCCCTGGCTCAGAGGACTTGGCGGGGGTCTGAATTTTCTCCCAGAGGCCCAAACCGGAGAGTACGGTTCACAACCGATAAACCAAAGGCCACTAGCTCCTTTCACAGAGCGAGGGCTCGGGCGGGCTCCGGAAGCCAGCTTAGCCAGCCAGACCCTCCCAAACATCTGGCCTTCCCAGACCTGGAAGGAGGCGATGTGCGTGCGGTGCCTCCAGCCGCGACCCTGCGCGGAGTGGGCTGATGATGGATGGGTGCCCTATCAAAAAGTGTCCTTTTGACCAGAGTGTAGCTTGAATTGCTCGGCTGAAAGGAACCGAGCAGAGTGCAATGTAGCAGCAGACGCTTCTGGCTAGAAACACAGCAAGACAGTGCGAGAGCTTCTAATCCCCCCGAGATCTCGCTGCGAGTCCTCAGACCCGTGCTATGGGCTCTCGAAGAAGCTGTCATGTTCTCCCTAAAATTGAAGCAAGTGTTACATGTTCTTTCAATGGAACAACATGTATCCTCAGTGGATGTAGAAAGTGCAAGTAAAACTACTGTGACCATCCATCCGGTGGCTTCTCCTGCTTAGCCTCCCTCTCCTGGCTTCTGATCACCTTGCACAGCTTCTTCACAAACTGGCCATGAGATCCGGAGATGGACTTCCGAGATGAGATGCACTGTCTCCTCCGTGGGTGTAGCAGGCAAGGAAAGGGGGGGGGGACCACTGGTTCGGTGTATTAAGAGGGCCCCAGTGAGTTTTGTCTTTAGCGTCAACCAAGCATCAAAGATTAATTTGCTCTGCCGTGAGGATCATTAATTTTGCAAACCAACATGTAGGGGGACTTTGTAGAGCGTTAATTTAGAACCTTCTTTCCCAGAACAGCAAACCTGAGAAAGGGAAATTGGAAGCAATTAAGAAGAGCGGAATGTGCCAAGGAGCACAGAGTAACTCTGCGTAGGTATTATGGTCCCCTGTAGCTAAGCCTGCCTGGTGAAATGTGATGGAGTGAGCCAGATGCCCAGTGGTATGGGAAGGCACAGGCAAAAGGGAAGCACAGTAGTCCTCTCAAGATGGCATGCATTCTCTGGGTCTTCGTTACTTTTCTGGATACTCAGTGGCGCCTGTCCTACCCCAGACCTGGAACTTTCATCTAGTCTCCCTTGGGCTCCCACTGCACCACACCCTTTTCAACCCAGTAGTGAACCTGCCCTGAGCTGCTCTGGAGGAGCAGGTAGTGAATGTCATTTCTGGGTATGCTGCTACTTCCTGTATTGTACCTTTATTTTCGCAAAGGTCTCGTGGGAACAGTGTACTAACCTGCCACACTGTCCTCTGAGTTCCTACAAACATGAAATTACCTGAGGCTAAGTTGTGAGAAGGAAGCACACTCCCTATACCTGTCAACTCACAGCATGTCAGTCTCTAGGACCAGCCCTAGCCAATACTCTTGACCTGGCATCTCAGAGCAGAAATAAGTGCATTTCATTGAGAGTTCCGAATCTTTTCTCTAAACACTGACAGCAGTTAGAGACAGAGGCCGATCATTGTTGCAAGGCTCATCCTCGGGATCACAGAAACGATTTCACTTCAATAACTGTCTTCAATAGCTTCTTTCCTGGGAGCTCTTGCCGGTGGAGTTTTCTGTCAGTGTCCGTTTTATCCAACACTCCTATCCCAGTTATGCGATGAAGCAGTACTTCTTATAAATAATAGCCCACCTTGTGACATCCTGCCCTTCCTCTAAACTTTTAAAGTGGGACATGCCAGAACCAATTGAAAATGATCTGATGTGAACACTGAAAGCCCCCGCCCTCACCTGCCAGCTCACTTTGCTGAGAGACTACCGTTCCTGAACCACTGCCCATCCATTTCCCACACCTGTTACAAAAGCTCCAGTCTAGGGAAAGAGACAGTTACGATTGAAAATGACATGGAGTCTTTCTCTTCAGTGTTCTTAACAGTCTCGCTTTCCTTTTCCTCCAAGGTTAATCTAAACTTCAAAGTCGAAATGGATCACAATTTCACTACAGCCTCGCTGTAACTCAACCAGAAAAATTGCAATTTTGGTTTTCTTAATCTAAACATCCATGGTTAGCTTTTATTTTCTTCCCTCAAATATAAATAAAAGTTGAGGTTGGAAAGATAACTGGGTGGTTGAGAGCACTTGCTGCTGGGACCTGGGTTGGATTCCCAGCACCCACACAGCAGCTCGCAATTATCCACAACCCCAATTCCAGGTGATCTGACATTTTTTTTCTGGCCTCTGGGGGCACCAGGAATGCATGTGATGCTCGTACATATATACAGGCAAAACACCCATATACATAAAAAATAAAATAAAAAATTTAAGGTATATAAGTAAAAGTTTAAATAATGGTATTGAGTCCTCTTGCCAGAGATGCTGGTAGTATGTCTAGAAGTAGAGAATTTCGCTAAGAGCAAGAGCCCCCAAAGTTTAGCCAAAAAAAAAAAAAAAAAAACAACAATCCACATCCTATTTGCTCATTTTCCAAGTGATCCATCATAAGAACTGCAGTGTTCTTAGAGGATAGCGTTGTGAAAAATTGCAACTGACAAGCATCACACAGGCCAAGCGCGGCTCCCTCCAGAATTCTTTAGCCTCACTCTTTTATCTCTGTACACAAAGCTAGGTCAGACTCCCCTGTGCCAGCCTTCTTGCTAACCTTTCTAATTCTAGCCTGTGTCATACCTGCTTATAGTTTACCCTACCCGAAGAGAAATGTATCCTGCATTCCGTTTTGACTACCAGATCACCCTAAGAACTTAACAAGAAGACCCAAACCAACACCACTAATGCCCAGGTCCCTCCCCAGATGCATTGGCCTAGGGTACAGCCTGTGGATCAGGGTGCTTTGGGGCTCTCCAGATAGTCCCAGGGTACAGCAGGGGTAGGAACTATGGAAACGAGTCATCTTCCAGGGGACATTTACATGGTCTTTTCACAACACGGGGGTAGCTCCCAATTATCTCAGGTAATCAAATTAAAATACCTAATCCTGTGCTGTAAGACTCTTTGCCAATTGACCAGAATAGTCTCCTTTCAAAACAGCTTAAATTTATCTCCTTTCCAAAGCTTCCCCAGATTAGTTTCATCTGGATGCCTGGAGATCACCAGGTTCCCAAATCTCTGAGCATCCTGACAGCACAGGTTTCACAAAGCCAGGGACCACAGTTGGCTGTGGGTAATATTGTTTTAATCTTGCTTTCATAGATAGCTGTCGGGGCCTTTTCCTGTCATCTTAATCTCCCTGAATTCTCACTGGTCAACGGACAATCCAAAATAAACAGAACTGTTTCCTTAGCAGAATTTTCTCCTCTAAACTAGCTATCTAAAGAACACAATGGCAGTTCATTTCAGAAATCATTACAATTCAAGCCCTCAACTGTAAGAACTTAAATGCTAGTTTTTTCTTTCTTACTTACAAAAGAATATATATATATATATATATATATGCACACACACACATATATATATATATATATATACATCTGTGTGTCATATTCTTGTACTTTAGACATTGAAATTTGGTTTCTATGCCCACCTGTTTAGTGAAACTACTCTTTACCTTGTCAGCATTGACAATTCCATTCATATACTGTTTATTTATTCACCCATTTATTGGTGGGAAATGCTGGGAATAAAACATTAACATCAGCTCCTACCTGATGATGCAGAATACGGTGCTATTAAAGTATCACATAACTGCTGTGTCAGACATCTCAACAGGAGACAGTAGAATCATATGAGCACCAGAAGGTCTTCACTTAGTGTTCACTCACTTGACCTCTCTGCAGGGTTTAAGGGGGTGTGCCCCCCACCCCGGTCCCCAGTCCTGCTTTGTGAGCCTCTCTGTCCCTTCACCGGTACTG